CAATAACGAGGTGAAAACTGTGCTGCCAACACTTTTCACCTGTTGTTTTCTAAGCCCCATCAACAAATGATCACATGTAACATCCCATTTGTCCTCCCCCTTATCCCGTTCTCTTGCTCTCTTGCTTCCCACATCAACCCACCTTTATTCATGCATCTCCTATGACAATAACCACTGTAAATTCTGTTAGTCAAACTAGCAATAGCAAAACTTCCTAAATCAATTGATTAAAATGCAAAAGTATACAAATTAATTTAAGCATAATGTGAACACTATCACACTCATAGTGGTATTTAGTTTAGAGTTGTATTTAGAAGTTATGTTCAGTACCATTGTGAGTACTTGTAGTTCTGAACTGTTTCTCCATCTATATAATAGAGAAGTCTGACCTTCTCTTAATCAAGTATATTTTTCATTATGACAGGCTACCAGAGCATGTTAAAAAAATCCTAGCCACATTATAACCCTTCATCTATCTTTCTACACCATCCACCGAACTCATCTTTTAATCTTTTAACTATTCATCCAACCCTCTCTCAAATCATCTCCAAAACCCTAACCTAACCACTAAACTCACCGCATTCGCCACACCTCTTCTGTTAGCTGCATTGCCGGCTACAGATCCTCTAACTTTACCATCGATGTACTCCTTCATCATCTCCTTCCGAATTCAGTCCTAACCTAACACCCCAATACCTTAACCCCTTGCAGCGTCATCTTCAATGCTAAGCCATTTTTCTTCTCATTGCGGCCTCAATGAAAGCTAGACACATTTCAATGCCCAGACCCATATAACACTTAAAACATTCACCAAAAAAAAAAAAAAATCGGCATAACCTAATCAAATAGTCAAGAGTGAATCTGTACAATTATTTCATATGTTAGCATGGTCATCCAAACACACATATATTGTCCTCCAAAATATATTAAGTTGACAGCAGAGTCTATGCAAAATATCTACAGAGGCAATTTGCTCTAAGACCACTTAACTATACATGGAATTAGGTATTCACAAAAGTTATTACATAACCATAAAGTATTGACTTAAGTCACTTAACTATACAATGAATTAGGTATTCACAAAAGTTATGTAATAACCATAAATTATTGTTCCTATTATTGCAAAACGCCTAGTTGGGCCCTCCAATGCTTCATATCTAATAGATAGGTACTTCAGTTCGCTTTCTAGGGCTGAAAACAGAACATCAATCTGAGTTATACAGAAAAAGATATATTTATTTTACTACAGGAATGTCCAATTTCCTAAATTTGGAAAGAATAATTTGGTGGTTATCCGCTTATTTAGAAGTGGGCAGCCAAATGTGGCGAAAGCATGGAGGAGAGAGATAAGAAAGAAATGAAGCTGTTTCATTTCTGTAAATGCATCCAAAGCTAGTGGATGCATAAGGTGACAACTTTATCACTAGGGCTTATAAGTTAAGACACCTCAAAGGATTAGGTGTCATGCTTAATTTGTTCAACGATAATATCTCTACTAATCTCATTTATCCTTAAATAATATTGTTTAGCCACAATACCCATTAGTTGACAACCAAGCTTGTATATTTACAGTCAATAAGGGTGCTACTATCATGTTTAGCAACACATCATTTCTTGCATAACCGACTATATATCTTCAACCTCATATCTCGATTTTTGAAAAGTTTCTGACATAACATCGCTACTTTTTGTATTTGATACTAATATATATGAATTCATATCTGATTATTGTCGAATATCTAGCCTCCTAATATGATATTCAACTATCCATATCATCACATTCTATTATACTTTATAATTTTCAAGTTATCATGAAATTCTTCAAATAAATTAGCTACTGAAAAATCTACGCATATTACAACACCCCTATTGATTGTAAATATATAAGCTTGGTTGTCGACTAATCACTATTGAACATGATTATTTAAGGATAATAGGATTAGCAGAGAAATTTCCACTAAACAAATTAAGCATGTCATGTAACCCTTTGAGGTGTCAACTTATAAGCCTTAGTAATATACTTGTTATTACATTATGCATTCATACTTTTATTACATTATGCATTCACTAGCTTCAGATGCATTTAGTAGAGAAATGACCAAACTTCATTGCTCCCCTCCCCCACGCATGTTTCCACCACAACTGGTTATCTCCTTCCAAATAAATCCATCAAAACCCTCAAATAATTCCTTCTAAATTTAGAAAATTGAAGATAGTTGTAGTAAAATGAGTATATCTTATCTCTGTTTTCAGCGCTACAAAGCCAATTGAAATACTTATCCACTAAATATGAAGCATTGAGGGTCCCGCAAGTTGTTGCTTTGTGAATAATAGAAGCAAGACTTTATGGTTGAGTCATAAGTTCTATGAATATCAAGTACATGTAGTAGTTAAGAATTCCCGCAACAACTATCTGCTGTAAAGGTATTTTGCGTAGACTATGCTATCAATTTTAGGGTTTCTGCCAATCAACATATGTGTGGTTATTTAGAGTTTTTGATTGATTGTACAAGTTAACCTTTGACCGTATGGCAGTCATGTTGGAATTTTGTGAAACATTCAAATATTACTAGGGTCGGGATGTTAGACACATATTCTATGAAGCAAAATGCTTCACGGGTTTTTGATGCGTATGATGGAGATCTTTAGTCTTCAACAAGGAGACAAAAGCCTGGAGGAGTACTATAGCCGAGTGAAGGGTATGCATGATCTTCTTAACCAGTATCACCCTTCAACTACTGATATTCTGATTTTGAAGAAGCAACGTGAAGATATCTTTGTCTGCACAACTCTTTGGTCTGAATTCTACTTTAAAGCTGCTATAGGGTCATTCTTTGGCATCTAAAGGAGGCTTTTTATCTCTTCATGTAGCATTGACTTTCTTGGATGTTAATAAACCCCATAACATTATGGTATTATTTTGAGTTTGGCTGGTTTAAATTTATCAAAAACACATCGCTATGTCCAAGACTTGGAGATCTCAAGTTACACATTATGGCATTATGTTCAAAACAACTGGTAATGCAGAAAGCTTTTCTTTTGGTATCAACTCATGCATTAAAATCGTCGAGTTTGAAAAAGAAAACATAAACAGAGGAAATGCCAAGTCATATATACAGATCAGACTACCACCGATCAAGGAATAAGCTTTTAAAGCCTTGTCGAAGTTAATATTAACTTCACAATGCATGCGGAAGAAGTAATTAAAAGGGATGGACAGTATACAAAAGGTGCGAGACATAGTGTGACACTCCCACTTTAGTCCTACATGGACTAGTGTGAAGAAATGTTAGTGGTTTAAATAGAGAAAAGTCCAAGGTCCAAGAACAATTAGTGCTAGCATTTCGGTAGTGGACTTTAGGCAACATCAAGTTGTTCTTGGTGGGTCCCACAGCTTACACGCGCTAAAGAGCCCGTGGACGTGAAAAATGGTATTAGAGCAGTTGTCAGCCGAAAGTGTGGAGCTAAGTGCTATATGTGGCTTAGTGCTACAACGCATGGATACGGTGAGAGCCACCTCTAGAGCCCGTAGGAGTCACGTCTAGAGTCCACATCGCTTGACAATGACACTAGGATGTGTCAATTGTCATGTCGTGACGACGAGGACGTCGTCTTTTTAAGGTGGGTGATTGTGACACCTCCACTTTAGTCCTACATGGACTAGTGTGAAAAAATATTAGTGGTTTAAATAGAAAAAAATCCAAGGCCCAAGAACAATTAGTGCTAGTATTTTGGTAGTAGATTTTAGCAAACATCAAGGTGCTCTTGGTGGATACCACGACTTGCACGCGCCAACGAGCCCGTGGGACCCACCAAGAGCAACTCGATGTTTGCTAAAATCTACGACTTGCACGCGCCAACGAGCCCGTGGGACCCACCAAGAGCAACTCGATGTTTGCTAAAATCTACTACCAAAATACTAACACTAATTGTTCTTAGACCTTGGACTTTTTTCTATTTAAACCACTAACATTTCTTCACACTAGTCCATGTGAGGCTAAAGTGGGGGTGTCACAATCACCCTACCTTACAAAGATGACGTCTTTTAATCGTCACGACATGACAATTGACACATCCTAGTATCACTGTCAGGCGATGTGGACTCTAGAGGTGGCTCCTACGGGCTCTAGAGGGGACTCTAGAGGTGGCTCCTACGGGCTCTAGAGGTGGCTCCCACAGTATCCATGCAGTGTAGTACTTAGTCCCGTATAACACTTAGCTCCACACTTCCGGCTGACAACTGCTCTAATACCATTTCTCACATTCAGGCCCACGGACCTGTTGGCGCGTGCAAGCCGTGGATCCCACCAAGAGCAACTCGATGTTGGCTAAAGTCCACTACTAAAATGTTAGCACAAGTTGTTATTGGGCCTTGGATTTTTCTCTATTTTAGCCACTAACATTTCTTCACACTAATCTATGTGGGACTAAAGTGGGGGTGTCACACATAGGATCACTACACTTGATAACAATGTACAATGCAAAGTTCCACTAGATGCTAAATCAGCGTCCAAGATTCACACACTAAATTTCCCCTACAATCAAAAATTTTCCTTCAGCATGGCACCAAACTCCTCTCAAGTATTAAATATAATCAGCTAGTATACCATGCAGCACTTCGAAAAATAGCTATCCAGATCCAACCTAGCATCAGTTAGAAACTCATATTTACTTCAACATCATTTCTCCTATCAATCTGTCACTTTCGACTCGTACCCCAAATCACATGACCACATCACATTCCAAACTTAAACCAACAAGTGAGCAATAATCATCTCTTCTAATTAGTCGTCTAATTGTACTATCGTAAATCCTCTTTTCTCTTGTATGTCAACATTGCCTTACATTGGACTAGACGATAGTCTCGAACCATATTACACCTCAATTCAGATAACTAAATTAGTATATTTTGTATTCTGTCCCTTCTTCTTGTCATCCCACCTATGATTATCCCTCTTCTCCCCTTCCTCTTTATGCATCTTATGTATCTGTTTTGTCAAATTAATAGATTTTCTGAACATCTCAACCAGGTTACTCGAAACTATAAACAATTCTTCTAAAGAATACACTTTTCCATCTCAACCAACGAAGAAAAATCTTGAAGAAGAAAGCAAACCAACCTCGAGACCCTCGCTGTTCAATGCCATGGACCTCTCCCTCTGATTCACTGTTCCCTTATCGAACTCCATCGAAATCACCCCATTCCTCTTCCCCCTCTTGCTCTGATCCATATCCTCTTCCATTGACTCCTCCATCTCCTTCTCCCCCAGTTCGTAGGCTCCCCTCTGCCCTTCCTCCACCACTGATGTAGGTGTCATCCCCCTCCTCTTCAACTCCTTCATGAACAACGACTCCGGCGCGTCTTCCCCTAATACTCAAATTTTCAGTCACAATAATAATAATAATAATAATAAGCAAGGGTTATTTGTACTTTAATAGCCTAAGGGCCTGTTTGGATTTGTAGGGGGTGAAGGGAAGTTAAGGGCCTGTTTGGATTCGTAGGGGGTGAAGGAAAGTTAAGGGAAACTGAGTGAAGGGAAGGGAAAGGAATGGAAGGGAAGGGAATTCCCTTCCCCTTGGTTACACCCCAATTTGGGGGGTAACAATTTTTATACTATTAGGGGGTGAACCAAGGTGAATGGAGGTGAATTAACTTCACCTCCTAAGTGTTCCCAAACAAGGTGAATGGAGGTGAATGGTTCCCCTAACTTCCCTTCACTCTCATTCCCCTCAATCCAAACAAGCCCTAAGGGAAATTGAGAGAAGGGAAGGAAAGGGAAGGGAGTTCCCTTCCCCTTGGTTACACCCCAATTTGGGGGTAACAAATTTTATAGTATTAGGGAGTGAACCAAGGGGAACTAGGGTGAATTAACTTTACCTCCTAAGTGTTCCCAAACAAGGTGAATAGAGGTGAATGGTTCCCCTAACTTCCCTTCACCCTCATTCTCCTCAATCCAAACAAGCCCTAAAGCTTCGACCTTTTGGAACTTGATATCGTGGAGGTCTATTTTGATAATTTGATACCCCAAAGTGCAAAATATATAACGTTAAATTTTTTCTTCCCCGAGCATATCAACGTCGGGAGAGCGAACGAGAAACAAATTTCATATAAATTTCGGTTTTTTTGAGTTTGGATAAAATGAGGAACAGAGTTAGGTCTTTGCGATATTAAGTAGAAGTCCACGACATCAAAGTTAAAAATGGAGGTGAAACCTTGGGTATTAAAGTGCAAATAACCCTAAAAATAACAAAAAAAAGTAAATAAAAATTATTGTCTTTTTCATTACCGCCGGAGTTGCTGCTTTCTTCAACGCGGCAAAGGACGACGGCATGCGGAGTTTGCGAGCGGCAAGGTTCACGAGTCCGGAATCGGAACGGCCATCGCCGGGAGAGAAACCGGACCCTGGGCGATTTGAAAAGCAAGCCCAATTCGCGGATCGTTGATTAATTTGGACGATCCTTCTGTTTGTCGTAGGGTTTCAAAGATGAGAGACGATCAGACGGAGGGAAGAGAGAGAAGAGGGGAGTTCAGGAATCCGTTCACCAGGAAAGAGCGGTGAATCGTCCCAGACAAGAGAAAAGAGAAGCGAGAGCAGTGGCTCAGAAGAGATGTGGGTGCCCCCCCCTGAGAGGATGAGTTCCGTTTCCTCACGCTTTGGTTTGTTTCTTTCTGGGCTTGTTTAGTTTTGCACTCAAGTAATCCACACTCTCTTCAGAATGGGTCCGCTTTGCCTGGGGTGTGCTCGTAAAGCCGTAGGGCTGGAGTCAGGGGAGGGTAGCATGGAGACAACGGGAGGCGGTGAGTTGGGCTGACGCTCCCGCTCACTTCCCGCGTCCACGACTACCCGGACTTGATTGAACTTCACCGAGCAGTCGGTTCTGGCCTTGAGAAAATCAACAAATACCACCCGTGTCCCCCGCTGAAATAATGATTTTTTGGGACTCTCGCTACGGATAAGGACGGAAATAAATTGATAAAGACAGTACGGTTCGGTTCAAACCGAAAAAACCGATCGAACCGATCCGAAAAAAAGGGTTCGATCCGAAAAAAAGGGTTTTATGAGTAAGGCGGGTCGGGTCGGGTGAATAATTTTTCAAACCGATCCGACCCGAACCAATCGAATATATTCCCCTATCTCAAATCCTACCCGTTTACCCAAAGACAAAGCAAGTCCGTTATTAAAAAATTACAATGTCAGAGTCTAGTATTTAATCTAAAAGGACAAGTTACTTCACTTAAAAACAGTATACATACATGAGCAAGAATAATAAATTGAAGTGAAGTTAAAAAATAAATACATGTTCGCATAGGGTAATAAGAATATATAAAAGATAAATTGAAGTGAAGTTATACTTGATGAAGTTAGAACCGAACAAACCGAACCGAACCGAATCGATTTGCAATGGTTCGGTTCGGTTTTGAATTGTAGATGATTCGGTTCGGTTGTTCAAATTTTGGTAAAAACCGATCCGAACCGAACCGTGCTCACCCCTAAAGACAGAAAGTACAGTAACACTCTGGCCAAGGATAAAGAGATGTGATAATAAATTATGAGACACAACTACTGTAGTGATTTTTTACAATTTAATTTCATTATGAGACATGTATAGATTTAGATAGAGTCTATTTTTTATTGTCTTGACACGTGTCTTAAATAGATGCTCGTGTTGTTAAATAGAATTGATTTTTAGTTAAATACAATTAGAATTATAAAACCCATTTAGTAGCAAACTAAAAAACCCATTAATAAGTGTTTTCTGTAAGAAATATGTGAATTATTACCGCAATAATTGAACAATTTGTATTATTATTGTTATTGAACAAATAGATGCTATCCGGCGTTTATTGAAGTCGATACAATTGTAATTATTTTTCGTAATAATACTGTGTTGCGCCTTAACATAAAAGATCGAAATCAGGGTCATCACGGTTTTGTGTGAAGCGTGGGGTTGACGAGCATAAAAGTGCTCCTACATTGACAAGACAAAAGTTTATAAAAAAAAGTGGTCATATACGTTCTTTCCTTATGTTGTTTGAAGTCTAAAGATTAAGGTTAAAAAGAGCATTTCATTAGAAATAAAAGAATAATATAACACATGGTATTTTGTTGGATAATGAACTATAGTATATTTTAGCACCTCCGATTTGTTTTTTTTTTTCGGGCTAGCTAAATTTTCAATTTAATAGAAGGCAAAAGAGTTTTCTTTTTATGTTTATCTAGGAAACATGAAAGGGGATATAGTCTCAGAATGGTGAACTAAATTCAAGACCCATATTTGTCCCCATTTTGGAACGATAAATATAAACATAAAGAGCAATAATAGAAAGTGACATGAAGAGAAAATGAAACACGTACAAAATACATATTAGAATGCGAACTTATGCTCAATAATATACTCATAAAGTACAATTGTGTGCGAATCATTCTCCCTTTAAAAGATGGAGTACTAGAAAAACTTGTATTCCCAAAACACCCTTCATTTTTTATGAAATTAACCACTATAATCTATTATCATAACTCCCAAACTTATTAAATCACATTAATTTAAGATTTTTGCTATAGGATAACTATTCTTTAGATTATTAAATAAATTAAATCTAAGATAATAACTAAATCAATTATCATGCTATAGGATAACTATTCTTTAGATTATTAAATAAATTAAATCTAAGATAATAACTAAATCAATTATCATAATAGTATTAGATTATCAAGTGTATGATTAAATAAATTAAATCTAAGATAATAACTAAATCAATTATCATAATAGTATTAGATTATCAAGTGTATGATGTTTTAATCTGATATAGGAATTATTATTTATGTAATAATGCAACTCTAATTAGATTATAATAGTACAAAATTATATTAAACACCATATTTTTAATAGTATAAGATTATATTAAACATCAAATTTTTTAGTGCTTATCAGCTGCAAATAACGTTTATATCTTCAACATTTATATCTCATCTAGAATGGTTTTAAATAAAAAATTTAAAATAATTAATTATGTAACTCTAATTAAATTAATAAATTAATTGTTATCTAATCGAATTGTTAACAATAATTTGGTGTTTATGTGCGCATATGTAAAGGCACAGATGAAACATTTTATTTAGAGTTTAATAGTTTATAGTGCCTAAGAGGCACAAACCAAGATAGAAAATAGTTCACACTTCTCTAATTCTACCTTAAGTGGTCCCTACAAAACTTAAATTTTCTAATGAGTAAAAATTTGATATCCCTCTAATGGAAACATTTGATAAAGAAGAAAATTAGCAGTTTGGAAAGCTTATTTTCATGCATTAACACATTTGACAAGTGAGCTCCTCTTGATACCTCTAACAAATTATCATGAACCCCTCCAACTTCCATCTGTTTCATTCCACTCCTTATATAATCTCCTTCTCAGGTTCCCCCTCTACCACTCTTCACATAACAAATTAGAGTTCTACTTTTTCCCCACTGCTATTCTTCTTTGCTCTACCAATGGAAGGAAATTGAAGGAAGACGGGGAGTTCGAATACTAAAAGACATGTTTCTGCCATTGAGGCAAGTTCGCCATTAGCGGTGAGGTGAATTTGGTGAAAGTGGTTGTAGTGAGCTTGGCAATTTCAGTAGAAGGGGCCGGAGACAATGTCAGAGGGCAATTATGGTTGATTCAATGAAAATGGTGGGTTTGACAAAGGAAATAGTGGCGAGTAATTCGATCAAGGAAGGGGATGTGGATTTGGAGGTGGTGATGAAGGTCTCGGTGGAGAAGGAGGGTGTCAGAGGAGCTCATGATGAAGTTGGGATATGAGTTTCGTTCATTCACATTTTTTAGTACTTATGTGCATGGATAAATGCATTTATATTATCTAAATTAAAGTTTTAGTGTGGTATGTGTTGTCATAATAGAAGAAACTCATTTCATATCCACATCTCTTTGTTTCTTTTTTGTCTTATATATTAGGGGTAAATTGAGACAAAAAGATTTAGGAAAAAAGATAATTACACAAAGAGAGAGACTCTTTGTGTGCGAAAGTCACTGAGTCTATTCTTTAATGCTAAAAGAATTTTGTCACATATCATTTGCTTTAGTATGTGTAGTTCTAATTATGTTGATGTGTTTCATATAAAATTTTGTGCTACTTATTCTCTATGGTTCACTGAAGATCCTAATAAAAGGATAACAAGTGTATCTACATGCATACATACATAAACTATATTTTTCTTCAAAATTTTCACATAAAATCCAATCTTATATTTAATATAGTTAGATATATAATTTTAAACTATAGTATAAAAAGTTTATACTAAAGTTTAGGTATTAATAATTAATGAACTTTATATCTATATTAAATTATACAGTATACTATAATTATAATTATAATCAAATAAATATGTACATATAAAATTAATGTATGATATAAATATTTACCATAGTTTGATATCTCCATATTATACTAAACTTTATATCTATAGTGTATTATACATAAACGAAGAATGTATACTAAAATATATTTTAATATATCTATATATAACTATACTATAATATATTTTATAAATTATACTATAACTTTGAATGGTACGTTTGTTATAACTCAAAGCATATTGTTATGGACGTATATTATCATGCAAAGACCACTACATGCTACAATGTTTGCACGACTTTAATGTCTAATAACACATACTAATTGCAATAGGAGTTATATTTTGTTATTAATCTTTATGTGTCATTCAATTATTTTGGAATGGTATCCAAGAGTTACTTTTTTATGGTTCAAAAATCAGTAATGAATTTAGATAGTCTTCATTTGTAGCTTTAAATATTCTAAGAATATGATGAAAAGAAGTAGAAAGTATATAATCTTTAGAAAAAATTGTTATTTCACTTACTTCTAATTCTTTTTTTTCCCTTTTAGGAACTGCAAATGAAGAGGAATTTCGATATAGTACATATCAGGTTTATATAATTCTTCCTTCTCTTGATCCATCATGATAAATATTAGTCGACTTTATTTTGTCGCTTAATTTAATCTCATGTGATTTTTAGGTGCTTTAGGGAATTTTTTAGGATCTGTAAGTGATGAGAGATTACATGGTTTTATGTGTGTTGTATTTGAATAATTTCATCTTCTTTAACTTCATCACATGAATTAAATTGCATGCTCATTCTTGAGAACATTTTTATAGTCTGAACCGGAGATGAACACTTTGAGAAGTAATGCTACTTGAAGATTGAAACTAAGGTTTGTGAGAATTTCTCATACTTAACCTCTTAAACTTCCAATTAATTATTTATAAGAAAGAAATTCCAACTAATGAATTTTATAATTGACATTCTCTCAAACAA